TACTACTACTACTACTACTACTACTACTACTACTATGACTTCTTCAACCAATACTATTAATAGCGCTAGGCTAGCATGTGTGCTTAAACGCAATTCCGTAAGACTGCTTTCTGGGCCAGTTAGCATCATGAAAGTCCGCCCAGAGATGCTAACTAGGCCTTTAAAAGTCAATATAAGTCCATTTTTTCCAAAATTCAAATTGAGAAATTACTTTTCCTGAGGTTCGGGTGTCCAGGCAGGGATACGAAGCCCTACAGACTGTTGGCTCTCGAAAAAAAGAGAAATACTACAGAACTACAACAGCGACCCACAGTTTGACCGTTGATTTCGATGATGTCTACCGCATGCTCCACAACGGGGTGCTGCAGGAACGCTGACCTCCACTGGATTATAATGGAAGTAGACTTTCGCGACATCTACCCCAGTCTCTCCCCACTCCCTCTCCTGGGCCCGGCGCCAAGACAAAGAAAAGAAGACTAGAGGTGGGAGCGGACGCACGCCCTGCGGGTCAACACAACCAGGAATTACAACAAAGTAGGGGCGGCTCGGATCCTAAATGAGCGGTAGTGCTATTGAGGGCTAAATTTCTGTCTCAACACCAGAAGGATCCCCAAATAAAAAGTCTGGCAAGACTGATTGAATTCGAACAACTTGACTGCTCAAAAAGCCTTATAGTGGCGCCGCGTACGATAGCCAGCCGTGCAGGTGCAAAAGTCGGGATCTGACAAGTTTAGGCTGCGGAATGAGTAATCAATCGGCTGGCGCCTGTCAAATGAGGCAGGAATATCGATTACCTACAATCGTAAACGTGGTGCGTTGACATTGAGCGTGCAAAAGGGCAATAGCGCGCAGTGAGCGAAGCTCAACGCACGAAAGACAACATGAGTCAGCACCGTTGCTCTGGGCGACTGATTCCTACAGTGCCATAAAGAAGCTATTGCAGCCTAACGCTCAATCCACAAGTTAGCCACTCCACACAACACAACATACACTGGGCTGACCTTGCGGTCCGAGTTTTGCCGTCAGTTGGCAAGTTTCCCAGCGCACCGTGATAGCTTCAAGCACGTTTTCTAGAGAGTAAAATGCATGCCGGTAGATGACGAGCAGACTGGTGTCAAGACGCCGCGACCAGTTGACATGAACTAATTATGAGACACTCTCCCCCTTCCCCCCTTCCCCCCTGTCCCCATCCTTTGATCTC